AATTCATTCTTACACTATTATAAGCTTTCTTAGATATATTGTTCTGGATAGATTTAATATACTTATTACTGTAATTTTTATATTACTGTAATTACATTAGTTTGTTAATCTATTATATATTGTAAGCTATCATTCTCTATAATTTAACATTTTAATCAATTCCACGTGTTTATACGTTACTTTTACGTGTCATAAGTTGATTTCCATTACTTGCATATAAAATATATTGATTGCAAATGGAGAAAATGGATCGGTCGGTTATGTTTTAGAATTATTATTTTGCATGAAATGATTACGTGCATTTTTGCAATATATTTATTAAAGAGTGTAAGTGTTATGTGAAGTTACGTGAATTATATTCCTATCATTTCTTGATAATGTTTAATTCATTCTTACACTATTATAAGCTTTCTTTAGATATATTGTTTCTGGATAGATTTTAATATACTATATTACTGTAATTTTTTATATTACTGTAATTTTTTTAACGAATATTTAGAGATTTCAAAATTCCTTCGCTCCTAAATGATTTATTTTTGGTTAATTTCGCTTCTATCATCCTTTAAATTTATTTTTATCTCCTAGAAATAAGCTCTTCCTATTTGAAATACATAAAATCGTTTAGTACATGAAATGAAATTTGAATAATTTGCCAATGTAGCAATTGGGTAGATGAAGTGAAGAGTGATGAGAAAGAATGGAAGAATTTTGTAGACAGATAAATAGAATGTAATAATTTGACCATACTTAAATGTATTTTCTAAATGTGATAAAGTTAATTTTAACTTATAACATTTTTAGAAATTTATCCCGTAACAGGAAATATAGCATATATCAGCATATTTGTTAGTAAAAAAAGAAAAATAGGCTAATGAAATATTCAATAGAATATATTTGAATAATTAGTAAGAAATTTTGCATATGAGTTTTTCTTTTCTTTTCTTTTTGCTTATTTTTATGCAAATAACTTTATTGGTTTATTTGTGTGAATTATTTAGCAGTCAGTTGCGCTGTATTTCTGTGTTCGCTCTCGTGCGGAGGAAAGTTCTCGTCCATTCGATATTCATTTTGTTTGATACAGTAGTGGTCAGTTGAATGCGCGCTTATTGACCGGAGGAGGATACAATAAGGAATTTTGTATGGTGTATTAGGATTTAATATTTTGCAATTTATTATCTTTGTCTCTGTAGCCCTTTTTATTTTAGTTCATCTAATTTGGAGCGTTTTTTTTTCCTTTCACAAGATATAAAAAACGAAACATAATCATATCATCATATATAATTTCATTTAGGATAAAAGTTGTCTTTAATTAGCTTAAATGAATAGCTTTTAAGTTTCAAATTGAATCACATTATTAGCAGCTAATATTAAATTACATTATTCTGACTGAGAATTTTTAGTATGAGGAGTTTTTGGGATGATTTATTTGGTTGTACTAAATTAGCATTAATAAAATACCAAAAATAAGGGAAACTATTGAATATTTCTGTAGCAGTTTATGTTTTTATACGCCTATTACAAATAGCAACAAATTAGTAGCAATGATTCTAATCATATTGATATCATTATTGAGATTGAAATGTGGGATATTTTTTTTTCAATATGATTATCTGAGATTTCAAATTGTCCCATAATTTTAGCTAATTTTTACAATTTTCTGTAATGTTCCATTCCAAATAAGTGGAAATATTTAGTTATCAAGACTTTAACAATACCATAATGTGCTTCTTTTTTTTTTTTAGGTACAACATTAAAAATATCGACTTATCATTTTTTGATTGCCTCAGTCCTTTTTTTCTTTTTTTTCTTTTTTTTTTTAGGGAAATACGACAGATAACATTACTTCTTGATGAGCATAACGAACTTCATTTCTGTACGGACAAAATGTTTTTTTTTCCTTTTCGCATTTCTTCAAACTTTTTTTTTCAACTACTTTTTAAAAAATCTTCCTAGAAATTTGTAAATATTTAAGTGTTGGAAGGTTTTGAGTCATCAAGTATAATAAGGCTTCAGAATCATAGTAAAACTTGCAGTCTTAGACTGGTTACTTACCTTTTGGTATGATACCTGAGACAGTGTTTTTAATACAGCCAATGATGATTGTACGTACTATAGTACCGTAGTATATTATATCACGATGACATGACCCTGCTTATGACAGTTTAAATTGCTGACCTTACCTCATCGATCAATTTAGTGATGAGAAGTCGTTGGGTCAACTCGGTTGCAGGTTTTTTTTCCTTAGAAAGTTGATTGTTTTATTATGAAATCTGTTTGGTTAGGGTTAACTCATTTAATTCATGCTTGACTTATCTAGCTTCAAGTTGGCTTGTTTAATTGCCCATTATTCAAGAGATATCATCAATAAAAGATTCTAATTGACCACAAGGGGGGAAAAAAAATTTGTATCTTGTCTAGAACTGTACATAACATATGTCAAATCGAATTCCGTGCACGAAAATTTCGGCTTTCGCGGGAATCCGGATTTGCTTAAAACGTTATCCATCTGTAGGACTGTATTGATACCCTTTCGAACAACGAAGTTTCAAATTTTTAGTTTTCACTACGTTTCTTTTTTTTATTCCCAATATTGCTGATTTAATATTCATTCTGAAAGTACTCTTTATTTCTGGTTCGATTTTCTATGCAAATTTTTGCAGATCACCGTTTTGAAATATTTCAGGTGGTTACATTTTCTCAATACGACATAAAATATTTCGACTAAATGAAGCTACCGAAACCCAAATGCGTCATATGTTTTTCGACTGCTGCTCTCAATGAACTTTCAGCTCTGTGCTGTGGTCACACATTCCATTTCATTTGTGTATGGGAATGGATGAAAGTATGCTTATTATCATTTAATTACATTTTCAAAGATATTTTGATTATTTTCACTCAGTCAGACTTTATTCTTTGGTAATAGCTTCACTTTCATCTTCAGTAATGTTTTAAATAATTTTTAAATTCTAATATTTGATGATCTAACACTTTCGTTATTTTCACTCATTTTGTTTCATTTATTGTTTTATTTGCTTTCTTTGTTCTATAGCTAGACTATTCATTTCGTTACTGAACGTTATCGATCCTTTGCTATTTTCTGATGTTATTATTTCATAAAATATAAAATTTCTTCCAATTTCTAGAATCGAATGCAGTGCCCGGTATGTCGGAAGCATGTAACAGCGAAGGATTTGGTCACCTTATTATCATTTCGAATCGTAAAGGATAATTCCAACATGAAAAGTAATTATGAATCGAGACTGCAGATGATGGTTTCCGTTTTTTTTGAATTTATTTGGCCATGAAAAAAAAATATTAAGAAACGAAAATAGTACGCAATCAATGGACTATCTAGGATTTATAGTGTAATAAATTAATTAAAACAGGTGGTTCAACAATTATGGGAAGCTGTTGATCAGACGTTTATGGAAGTTTGTGCCAGCTAGGAAATGTAATTTTACTGAGTATTGGATAATCTCCTGAATTTTTTGTTTTTTACTACATTTTCAACTTTGTTTTGTCGGAGATATTACCGCTCTTTTTATCATAATTATTGTTTCAGTTTCGAGATGCCTTCAGATTGTCTCTTGGTCGGCCAGAATTGCGTAGCGCTTACTTATTTCGGCGAATTAAAATGGTGCATATTGATTGTAATTCTATGGTGGATAGTTGTTAACCTCAAATCGTGATATACCCAATGAAATCAATATCCCTTAGTAAAAACAAAAGCTACTCTCTTAAGGCGATAGTCAAGACGATAGTTACCTTAAACTCGTGTGTTAAAATATGTAAATAAATGCAGACTTGTTAGAGTTTATAATATGCAACAGTTAACCCTAAATTAATCTCAAGCTTAGGATAAGTGCAAACTTTGATATGATTAAGATTTGGCTTCTTAAACAGATGAAGGAATTCGAATCACGAAATGCAAGGGAAGAAATAGAATGTGCTGTTTGCTTGGAGTATATTCATTTGACCGAAATTGCTGCATTACGTTGTGGTCATACATTTCATCCGCTATGTGTTTCACAACGGGTTAAAGTGAGTTTCAAATAGTAATGTATTTAAATTAGAAAACCGAACAATTTAAAAGGGTTGACTTAAACCGGAATGTTTCGAATTGTCTCCTCCGAATGGTCCAATGGAGAAACGATAATTCAAGTGATTAAGTCATTGCAAATTTCTGCTTTTATGTTTTCAAATTGATGAGGTGTGAACTTCAGACTTACTCATATTCATACGGGAATTCTTTATTGTTTTTGTTGAAATACTACTCTACTTCTATTGTGACCTTCGCTTCGTCATTGTCTTCGCCTCATCAACACATTCGGGAAAAACGGACTTGTTAATTCAGTTTAATTCCATTTTCCATTCATGGATACTTGGTGTTTGGAATCTTATTTTCAAAAATAAGTAAATAAATTTATAATTATAATGAGGGGACTGAACATAAGGCAGTCCAGGGCTAAACTGTTTCCTGTAATCTATTCATTCTTTGTTATATATAGCAACAAATAAGTTCTGTGATTGACTTTTTGGTCAATCACTCTAAATTAATTAAGGCAGTCTTTTAATGATTGTGCTTCGAGTTTGCAGGATGACCAGAAGTGTCCAGTGTGTAAGAAACAAGCTCAAGAAGATAGCATCATTCCGCGCCTATTTTTTGAGATCAACGAAAAAGAAAATTCAGCTATGAATGAAGCAGCCGCAATTATAAATGAGGTTTCTACTGCTCTAAATGAGGTTTCTACTGTTCTACTGCTGCGGTAGTTTATAACATATTAACTAAACTCTAGGCAAATCGATGTATTTTTATCACTGTAAAGTCTTGAGTTGCTCCATAAATGTGTTGTGATCTTCCCAATGAACTTCCCGATGAAGTGATGGATAATAAGCTAGAGCTTTGAAAACTGGGTGAATAAATGGATGAGCGGTACGGCCTCGCGGTGAACGTGGAGTTGTATGTAGTCATATATTGTAAGAGAAATTTTGAAAATACTTTAAAGATCTTATTAAAAGCTTAGCTTTACAGTTAATTTTCATTATAAAATATTAATTTTCATTATAAAATATTTCCAGATCACGAGCACGCTGAGCAAACTGGATATAGAACTCGAACTGATTTATCTGCAGATAGAGCATAATTCGGCTTTACTGAGAATAATGTCGAAAATGATAACTGCTTGTATCAAACTTCTCGAGAAGAAATGACTTATTCAAGATACAAAAAGATATGACTGTAATTAAAAATGTAGTAAATTTGACAACTACATAATTTATGGTTGTTTTTGAAGGGACCATGACATATTTCTGTATGATTTGTATTCATAAAGCAACCTGAACTTTACTTTGAAATTTTTTTGCCAACCATTACTGGCCAATTTCACATTACGGTTCTCTTTATTTACCATTATTATCCCAAAAAAAAAAAAGAAGAAACAAATTATAGCTTCCCCAGTAGGAAAAGTTCCTTTGGTATTTCAATATTACAATCAGCCAAGGGTTCCATTTGAACGTTGCTTTTTTTAAAAGGAAATTTGTGTTTTCTGCAGTAAAATAAATACTATTTTTACTTGGTTTTTATGTGAACTGATTTGGAAACTTTTAAAATAAATTCTTGTGGAAATATTTCTCAACTCGTGATAATTGTCGTGTTGAAATTTTTTGTAACATATGAATTAGTCCAATTTCAGAGAAAAAAGAAAGATAAAAAAAGGGAGTACTGTAAGTGGTAAGTTGAGTATGGAATTGCAAAATCAGCTAGAAATTTACAGCAGAGTGAAACAATGAAATTACTGGAATGATTTTAAAAAGGTAAAGAAATTTAGGATAGAAGGGTTGGAAAAAATAGAATCAATAATTGAGGAAATTGGGATTTGCATGGGATCAGTGAAGCATAGGGTCCAATAGCTCGTTTGGTTATCCGCATTGATTTTATATTGAAGCTAGCTTGATGCTACTATTGAATTTCAATGCTTCACTAAACCGGAAATTGACCGGTAAATCTGAAAATCATCAAAATGTGTCATTATTTCCGATCTCTATCCAAACAACTTTCGAAATTTTTATTCACTTCACAAAAGAAAAAATGGGAAAGGTTTTTTTGGAATGAAAATTAGGTTTCATAAATTTGCAATAAAATTTACAATCAAATATTCCTTTTCAGTTCTTTCACTTATTTCTTTAGGATAAATTTAAGTGATTTTTTTTTTTATCCGTTCATAATGCATATTAAATTCAATATTTCCAATTGAATTCGTTTAATTTCGCTCAAATTTTACATTTTATTGCTGCTAAAAAAATAAAATTTCAAAAATTTAATAGCATAGCTAATTGTTAAATTCAAATATTCATTCTTTCAATTTATTGCAAAAGTTATCCCGAGATTTGCATATGGATATATCAGTATTGATTATGATATATGATCGATAGTCATCATTCAATTCGATTTAATTAATTTCTCAAACAATCTTGAAGTTTCTAAAACATATTGAAATGACACATCGGCATTACTATAAAGCTATATGATGATATTTTAGCTTCTAAAAATTCCCATCAGTTATTAGTTGATTTAAATCCATTGTTTTTATTGTTTAAATAGATCAACATTTGTTTATGAATGATCTTAAAGAGATGATATCCTATTTTAATAATTAGGTTTATCATCAACTCTTAATTAATATCCCTGATAATTGGTAGTTATCAAATATCAATAGTAACTTTTAATTTGCCTGAAATTAAACAACGAAAATTTTTCTATCAAATTTCTCGTTAATATATTGATAAATGTAAAAGATGAGTGTTATCATTTTGTTGAAGAATTTGATATTTTCTTATTAGCAATATATTGTTTTTTTTTCCTGGCAAAAAATTTTTTATCTTTTTGTCAACAAATTTTAAATATTAGCAATAAATTAACAAGGCTACTTCCCTCTCGTCAAGCTTTAAAAAAAAAAAAATGATTTCCGACAGCTCTTATCTGTGTATGATAATCAGATATCAGAATATACTGATTTGAAAATTATTTCGTAATTTGAGAAAGCTACAAAATTGTGATATGAAAAAAAATAAGCTAATTGTGATAAAAGAATTAGCTAAATTGTTGAAGAAATGCTGAAAAATTGGCTTATTAAGCTAATTATGATAAAAGAATTAGCTAAATTAGTGGAGGGAAAAGAATCAGCTAACTGTGATAAAAGAATTAGCTAAATCGTTGAAGAAATGCTGAAAAATTAGCAAATTATGATTATAAAACATAAAAAATGGTACTCATATTCCTTTTTATGCATGTTTTTGTGGAGATTTTTATCCAATAGATAAGATAAAAATGTTAAATTTCCATTAAATTTTTGCATAAATTTGTAAGCGATGTTTGAGTTTGATGCATTTCAGAAATAGAAATCAAAATGTTAAATGTAAAAATTTTGATGAAAATACCATTTGATATCATTTTACATTTTGATTATTTTTTGCTAATTAAAAAATGAAACATGCGGAAATGAAATAATATTATCTTTTATAAAAATTGCATGAAAAAGATGTATGTGAAAAATTATTGCTATTTAAGGGTAAATTCAATTAAAGAGCATTTCGATGAAAAAAATTAACAAATGGCAAAATAAAAAAAAATTTTATTTTAATTTTTAAAATCTTATTTTAATATTGAAATACAATAGAAATTATCATTCGTTTATTTATTTTGATATTTATTATTGCATTTATTATTTTTCATTTATTTAAAATATCACAATTTGTCGTCCCATATTCAATATCATTGGTAAATTTAATTTCATAAAATAGAATGTTACTAAAAAAGAAAATTAACAGAAATTGAAATTTTCAATTATTTTTTCTTCTTAAAAAGAAGTTTCTTGAAAGTGTAAAAAAAGTATACATTTACTAATTAATTAAATAGTCATCAAATTTACATTTGCGCTTTCTGATACTAACGTTTACTAAAAAAAAAAAAAAATCTCTAATATGACAACAATTTCTTTAGGATATACATATCACCAATAACATTTCAATTATTCATTTTCAAATTTTTTTCCAGTCGAATCAAACATTCTATCCAGAATATGAAAGTGTTCTAATGATTGATGACACGAAATAAATTCACTTATTTCATAACTGTCAACTTTTCCACTCTATCAGAATTCATTAGAAGACAAAAAGAAAAAAGAAGGGAAAAAAATTACAGAACGATCTAATTATTAACAATTTATTAACTTATCTAAACTTTGTGAGTAATTTTGTCCAAATTAATCTACATTAAGCTTGAAAACCAAAAAAAAAATTCAAAAATTAAAAAAAAGTTTTAGTATCCAAATTCTTTTTGATATTTGTTTAACATGGAAGCGTAATTCAATTCCAATAGATAATTAAGAAAGAATAGCATAGTAATTTTTATATTTTCACTTACAAATGGTTAATTGAAAAATTAAAATCTTATCTGATTGAGTTGAAGAATAATTTTTAAACAACGAATTTTTTCCTGTTTTTTTTTTTAAATCGAAACAATTAATTGGAAAATTTTTCTTTGCATTTTTTAAATTTGGACCATAAAATTGAATTGTTTGCTTTTTTAATCATAAACTTTATTTGCAAATTTTGTTATTAGATTTGATTATTGAGAGTGATTTCGTTGTATATTAAATACATTTAATTCTATTTAATTCCCTCAGCATTGTTAGCTTCTTTTTTCTTTTTTTTAATGCCAAGTATTTGTTTTCATTCATTCATTTTCTCTAAATTACTACTTAATTTTTTGTCTGAAATTAAAAAATTCATTTGAGATGATATTTAGCCAAATAATACTGAAACTTTTTAGAGAATATTTTTGAAGTAATTAAATGATTTTTAGCTAATAATCAAAATAATTACCGCTGTACCACATCTAACTATAACTACTCAATTTATCTTTATATTTGGACAAACGTATGTGAAAAAAATTAAAGATATTTTAATGATTCATATTTTCGAATAATTAAATAACATCAAATTAATGTGCTATTGACAGTGTCTCTGATCATTAACAGTGATACCATTTTCTTGGGTACATTTCCAACAACATTTTTCTTACTTTTCTTCATTAACCGATTTTTTCACTTTTTCTATACTTTTCAACTATGGTGCATAAACTACACTATTTCCAACACTAAAAACTCTCACATCTGAAAACATCTGAAGCGAACAATAAAAAATTGATAAGCTGTTAAAAGAATTCTTGTAATTCAAAAGTTCAAAGGTTGAAATTGCCTATTATGGATATGACGAAAACTGACATCTCATAGCTCAAAACATTCAGTTGTTCCTAGAAAATTCATCTTTATTTCTTCCATTTATGATATTTCCCGTTATTTAAGACGATTCTCTAAGATTCTATGAGATATTTAACAGGAAGATTTTAGACATCCTTAATTAACACATATTAATAAAATCACATAAACTTACATAATCAGAAACTTTCCGAAATGGCAAGATTCGATGTCTAATTATTAAAAATTAGTCAATTTATACTAAAACTGTTCCAAAATGAAAAAACAATTATAAATCATAGCCTTTAAATATAATATAAATCGATTTTCATATGAATAAAAAGCAATTTTTACTACTTTC